GCAGTGAATCTGACTTTATCTGGGGACAGCACAGCGGAATTTTTGTCCTCAGGTCCCCACTCACTTTGTAGGTGAGTAAGGCTCAAGTTCCACGGCACCCATGCCACAACCCTAACTTCCACGGCCTTCCTCTGTTGGTGAAATAAGCAAAACTACCCTGCTGAAAAGACACGGACTGCGGGCAGCTTGGCCCCTCATCCTTGGCATGACCCACTTAAAAAAGAGGAAGGGCTTATTTGGCTTGTGTGTCAGTCCCCAGTAGCCTGGTCTCTCCACTTTTGGACCTGTTCACATAGCATCTGGGAAGCAGGAGCCAGAGAGAGGAGGGGTCAGGGCAGGAAAGTGTTCTGCTGTGAAGGGCACGCCTGCGCAGTATAGAAGAACTATCAGCATATTTAGGATCTAGCTACCAGCTGTGAAAACCAAAAATGCCTCCAAACATTGCTGAGTGTTTCCTGCAGAACAAAAACCATTCCAAGTTAAGACTAACCCTTTCAAGGTCAAGCCTACCACAATGTTACAGACTCCTTTCCCAGAACCACAGCCTATGTACAGAAAGCTAGTGATGGGTGTGACAGACTCGGTCACACATGGGATTCCTTGAGAATCCCAGGCTCTGAGACTACGATATGTCACCCAGAAATCGGGTGGGAGGCACAGGATTTTTGAGAAGAACAAGGGAAGCAGGATTAGGCAGAGTTGAACGACAGTGCCAACTCACTGCAGAGAGAGGCCCCAGCCAGTTCCACATGGGGACCTGGGGTTAGACGGCCCTTCAGAGCTGGGTTGACTGGAGACGACGGGGCCTTGCCCTATTTCCTTCCCCATACACTGCTATCTAGACACGGGCGACACCCAGGGAGGGTGTATGTTCTCAAGGAAGGTGACATTCCATGAGGGCAGTTCCGGGGAGCATGACAGCTGCAAACACTGTAGTGTCGGCCTCTGTCTAACTGGCCATCTGGGTGGAGTCCAGCAGTCATAGAAATGGGTGTCATTGATTATATAACCGTGGACTGTAAAACACATAAGTACATAGATGAAGGGTGGAAAACAATATCAAAATAGGCATTCCGCTGATAGCGCTGCGGAAGGTGAGGAGGCGGTTCAGGACTTCCCATGATGAGCCAGGCGCCTTCATGGTAGAAGAGCAGAGCTGACGTCTACAAACTGTCCACTGACCTCCGGTGCCTGCTGTGTGCACTGCCTCTGCATAATAAGCAAATAAATGTAATAAAATTTAAAATATAGCACTCTGAATAATTGATCTTTCTCTTGTTTTCAAAGTCCGATGTGACGGTTTACACCTGCACTCCCAGCGTGTCAGAGGACAAGACAAGAATTGCAGATTCAAGGCCAGTCTGGGCTACATGGTGAGGTCCTGTCTCCACAACGGAATGTTACTTACGTTTTCATCATTTTTCCTGCCGTTACATGAAAAGTGCTACGACCTCAAGAAATGTAGCTCATGGTTTCATAATACTTCATTACATATTCTCATGGCTGTATCAAGTCCAACCCCGTGCTACCTGGCCTTAAATACAGGAAACTCCCTTTTGTAGAAATGCTAGGCAGTTAAAGCACTTTAAACACACAAAAAAAAATCTCTGTAACTCTCAGGTAAGCACTTTATTAAGTCCATTTTACAGAAAATTTGGTTGAGTCAAGTTCTATATAGTAGGTAAATGGCAGAACTAAGGCTTGAATCCATGACTCCCCAATCCTAGCTCACACCAACCCTGTTTGATAACCTATATCCATCTATTTCAAGTAACCTTCAGGTTTCTTCTCCAGATCACTAATGTACCTTCTGATTCAAGTTCTTAGGAAAAACAGTAGAAAAAGCTGCCAGTGTTAAGACTATGCTATGGGAGTTTAAAAATGCCTTTGGAGATCTACTTGAAAGGTTTTTGGTATTTAAAAGCATTTAGATGCCAATGGAGATTGGAGGCCTTCAGCTGTCAACTCCAAACATGATGCTTTTAAAGGTACCTATTTGAAGGATGACTTCCTAGTCAAAGCTTTATTCTTCCTAGAAATGTAAGGCTCAAAGACATAAATTGCTTTCGAGATAATTCCCTAGGCACCAGGAAATTATCTGGGGAAAAAATAAATTCAGCTCAAATTCATTAGCACTTTCCTCCATTTCTCCTCTTAAGTAGAAATACAGTTTATTGAGAAAGAATGCACACAACCCCCCCCAGGACCCCACCCCCAGAACTGGAGTGGGCTAGCGAGGCCAGGGTAAAGCCCCAAAACCTAATTAGCATTTGGAAAGTTAATTATTTCACCAAAAGATGAATGAATTTCTAGATTCAAACTTCTCAATCTTTAAAAAAAATATCTAATCTTAACCTCACTCTTTCATCCAAGGATGATTGTGGCTTTTATAAGCCAAACTCTTCGGAGGCCGTGTCACACAGGAACTCTGTTGCCCCATGTACATGCCAGGCACTAAGGCCTTCCAAGACGCATGCCATCTCAAGATAATTAATTTGAAAGGGAAAGCACTTTCCAAGCATGAAAAATAACTCCTCTCTACACATTCACACAAATTCTGACCATGTTCTTAGGTTCACAACCCAGTTGGTACAACAAGACCGTGCTTGCTTTAGGAAACCTGGTATTTCCATGTTTCGAAAACTTGAATTACATGGCAGGCCACAGAAAGGTAACCATCAGTAGAGTTATCTTTAAAAAAGACCTGCTTCCCCACTGCCCACCAGTCACTATCTGGCTGGTTTCTTGGCACTGAGGAGGACACGTCTAAAGTTGAGATCCTTCCTCTGATGGAGAAAAAAGCCTGCTAAAGTGATCAAACCTTGGACTTTGTATATGTCAGTCCGATAATCTACCACTGGCTTCCACTTCCAGGCCTAAGTATGCCCTCCATGCCCTCTTTTCTCTTTGGTGAATAACTTGCTGACAAAGTCTCAGATATCTTTGGCACCCAATCTTGTACATTGGTTGCATATTCAAACTGCAGATAAAAAAAAAAGTCACTTTTCAGAACTAGGTCAAGAATTTAAAAATTAGAGCTGTTTGTGTAGCTCAGTTGGGAAAGTGCAAGGCCCTGCGTTAGTTCTCCAGCACTGAATAAACGGTAGTGCACACCTGTGATCCCAGCACCCAGAAGTGAAAACAAAAGATCCAGAAGTTCAAGGTCATCCTTGGGTACATATCAAATGTGGGGCCAGCCTGGACTATGTGAGCCTCCGGTCTCAGTATCTAGAGCAGTGGTTCTCAACTTTCCCAATGCTGCAACCCTTTAATACAGTTCCTCATGTTGTGGTGACCCCCAAACACAAAATTATTTTTGTTGCTACTTCATAACTCTAATTTTGCTACTGTTATCAATCATAATGAAAATGTCTGTGTTTTCCAATGATCTTAGGTGACTCCGATGAAAGGGTGATTGGGTTGAGAACCACTGATCTAGATCTATCATTCCCCCACTTAAAATTTATTCTGCTGGGGGTATTTCTTCATTGAGAAAAACCCAAGTAGCTTGACAGTAACATGAAAAGAAATAAACCAGCGCTCACAGGCTGCACTATCAGCGGTGGAATCGCTCAATGTCCATTCAAATCTCAGATCCTTTCAGCCCTGCTCTAAGTACGGTTTGTTAACACCTTCCTCAAATAAATCACATCCCCCTCCCTGAGGATAGAAACAAATGATGCACAAATGATGCATTTGAAACACAGGCTGACCGTACTTACTCTGTATCAGATTTAAAATCAGGACTTCAGAGAGAAAAAAATGAGCTAACACAGACAAGGCCTTCCCAATTTCAGCCGGCCTTGCTGACATTGTGTACATCCAGAGGAAACTCCTTTAAAATGCTCTGCTTTAGCCAGGAGGTGGTGGCTCACGCCTTTAATCCCAGGACTCGGGATGCAGAGGCAGGGGATTTCTGTGAGTCAAAGCCGCCCTGGTCTGCAGAGTGAGTTCTAGGACAACCTCCAAAGCAATACAGAGAAACCCTGTCTTGAAAAACCAAAACAACAACAACAACAACAACAACAACAAAAACATGCGCTGCTGCTTTCCTTTTCCTTTTAACCATCAGTGGGAAAAATATATGAATTGAAACAAGAAAGCCAATTTGATTCGTCCAGGATTAGAGAGTCCTTGTTTGATAAAGTTGGGCCTTGGGAAAGCACCTCATGCACATTTATTCTTTGCCTTCGGGACACAGCAGATCCAAATGGATTTCTCCTGAAAAAGGACAACTAAGGAAGGTCTTGGCACCCAGCCCGGCATGTCTCAGGAAACCTGAGAGCAAATAAAGGCAACACTTAGTGAGGCCAGAGAGACCACCTCCTGCGTGCTGAGGGTTTACCATCCTTCCCTCCAGCTGAGTTACTGGGCTGACTGTGCTGGAGGTGACTGCCAACACAAATTCAAGGACAAGGGTTCAATTTCCAGATGGAACACTCCTTTTCGTTTTTCAGTTTTTTATATTTTGTTGGTTTCCAGGGTGGGTTTCTTTTTCTTTTTTTCTTTTTTTCAAGGCAAGGTTTCTCTGTGTAGCTTTGAAGCCTGTCCTGAAATTCCCTTTGTAGACCAGGCTGGCCCCAAACTCACTGAGATCCACCTGTCTCTGCCTCCGGAGTGAGTGCTGGGATTAAAGGCATTGGATATCTTTTTTAATTGAACTTCCAGGCAGGTTTCCCATGCCTCAGGTGACGTGTATCATTTTCTTCCCAGGTAGAATGAAGCCATCAAGTGCACTTGTGTTTTGTTGAGCATGCTTGGTCCCCCTCTCCTCAGGAAAAAAGGGACTAATTTCAGAGTATTAAAACAATTTAAAGAAGCTGGATGTGGTAGCGCACACCTTTAGTCCCAGCACTCAAAAGGCAGAGGCAAGTGGATCTCTGTGAGTTTGAGGCCAGCCTGATCTACAGAGGGAGTTCCAGGATAGCCAGGGCTACACAGAGAAACCCTTTCTTGAAACACAAAATGAAACCCATTTAAAGAAACTTACTTTCCCAATCTTTGAGATTTCACAGTTTAATGTCAAGAGAAACTTTTGGAGCATGTCATTGCAGATACAAGAGACCACAGTTCTGTTGATCCTATATCAAGAGCCATGGCTATTGTAAGAAAGAAAATATTCTAGCAACCAAGATGGGGCCTGGGCATGTTTTCTTGTTTTTGGTTTTTCAATGAGATGACCTAGTTTTATATATGTAATCCAACAAGAGACATGTCTTTAAAAACAAAAAAAAACAAACAAACAAAAAAGCTACATCAATCTTAATGTTCACCTCATTTGAGATGGGCTTTATATGCTGACGATACATAAATTAGAAGGAAGTACCGCAGCTGGAAAGAGCTGTGGGTTAACTGGGTTATGTGATCTGCATGTATAAACTACAGTACTACCTGGGGGCATGCTATCCAAACACAGAATTAGCTCCAAGGAAGGCAAATCAAGCCTGGAATACATGTCAAGATGGTCTCTCAGGGCTGTCCTACATACACAGTGCGATTTACACCTTTGGCAGAACATTTTCACAACTACAGATTAGACAGCCCTGAAAGCAGAACTGTCAGGTTTTCCCCCTGGGAGTTCCAATTTTCCCCTGCAACTTTTCTACTAAATTATGACTTTCAGATGGCAGCATTCACCTCACCAAATCTTCTTTCTGTCCTCAGTTCTGAGAAACAGCATTCCAATGTGGATGCTGGAAAAACACTGACCAAGACACTGTGAAAAGGTCAGGGCAAGAGACCAGTTAGCAGAGCTGGACAGCTAGGAAGTGATTTTCAGCCCCGAGAGACTTCGGGGCTGCGCTGCTTTTGTAGATCTTACTCATCTCTTGAATTTTACACAGAGGAGGCCTTGTTCTACCTTTCAAAGCACATCCTCTCCCTTTACCCTCTCAGCAGCCTGAATGAGGAGTCGTGAAAATGAGCGTTTGTTTTCTTACTGACAAATCTAGAAGCTATAGTTCTCAAGCTTCCTAATGTTGCAATCCTTTATTTAACACAGTTCCTCCTGCAGTGGTAACCCCCCCAACCACAAAATTATTTTCACTGCTACTTCATTACTCTGATTTTGCTACTACTGTGAATCATAATGTAAATATCTGATATGGAGGATGTCTGATGTGCCACCCCTGCAAATGGCCAGTCAACCCCAAGGGGTCACCATCCGCAGGTTGAGAACCATCCACCTAGAGCGTGCCCAGTCCTTCCTTCTTGACTGAACTAAACAATCTGACCTAATACATGGAAGGTCTGGATTTCTCCGGGCCATAAAGAGAAAAGAGTTGACATCTCTGCTCAGGATTATTTTCAAGATGAGGAATGTTATGACTCCTAGTCCTTTGGTGTATTCACAAATCATTTTCAGTGTGTATCCATGACACGGTAAAAGGCTAAGAAAATGAGGCTCAAGCCAAGTAGACAGAGCTCTTGGTGAAAGGTATGGCATTCTGAACAGGGGTAGAAATGCCTCAAGTTAAGTGGCAACCTCCTACATTTATAAATAAAAACATGGGTGCTTTACCAATTACAATGAAAACGGCTTTCTTGGTGCTAGGATTGAATCCCAGAGGCCTGTCACTCTACCAGAGTCCAGCTCTCATTCCATAAAGATTCGTTAAACTTTCTAACACAGTCGCTACAAGTTCCGATTACCACATTACCAAGCCAGTCGCCGTGCCCCCTCAGGCAGTATTTAAATATTTTGACATCCAGTTTCATTCCTACTGTTTCCTTTTTAGAAAAGCATGGTCTTAACTATCAGGTTCTCATAATTATACATTCTGACCCTTTAGCTTAAAAAAAAAAGAAGAAAAGGAAAAGAACCTTCCATACAAACTACACATCTATGAAAGAGACCTAAACAAGTAAAAGTAATGTCAGAATTTAATTTCAACCTCTTCAAATACAATGAAAGAGTCGACTTTCTGAGAACGCCCTAAGGATAAGGAGTCAATTTTTAGTGTTCGCCCCTCCACCACCCTTTTTCTTTTCCAAGATTAGGGCTTACCAGGAAATAGGCTTTTGAAAATAAAATTTCATGGGGGTGGGGGATGGCCTACATTCAGAAATGTCTTAGAATAGGCATAAAAAACTAATAAATAATCATAAACCAAAATACATTAAAATAAAATTACAGTACATAAATTGCTCCTACAAGGTCCATTACGTTAGACGATCCTTTCAAAGGTTCATAAATAAAGTCGTCTTGACTCAAAATCGCTTCCTGCACGGTGATGAAGATTATGCAGAAAACTAAGAGGAACCGCAAGGCGGGAGATGTCCACAAACTACTTGTGCTGGCGCGGGAGGGGGAGGCTGTTGTTTTGGATCCAAGTGAACACAATAGCAATGCATTTGTCCCACTTTCCGAAGTCCTCGAAACCTGGAAAGAAAGGACACAGAATGAAATGGGTGGCTCAGAAGTCAAGACCCAGTTCCCTCCCTGGCAGTCCAAAGGGCAGAGTGTCCAGAAAGCAGACACACAGTTAATTAGTACGAGGGTATGCGGCACTGAGCAGGGGCGATCGCGGTGGTGGGAAGGTGGTCCATCCACCGTGCCCAGCTCCCTGGCCGAGCTCCTGTCCTTCCCTTCCCGCATGGCCTATACTAGCTCCAGTTTGCCCATCTTCTTGCCACCTTTCCAGAAACTTGCAAGGATTTTTCATTTTGCCTCGAGAGCGGAACCGGTGAACAGGCTTTCCTCCAGTTCCCAACAACCATGCTGACACGTTTCTAGGTGTCCCAAGTTGCCAGGACCTTACCTTGAGTGGCCCTGGGTGCCGCCCTCTTCAGGCAGAGTTGGAGGTGCTGCGGAGAAGCCGGTGGCCGTGCGGCACGGAGTGAGGAGGCTGGTGCGCGTGTTGGAGTTGATGTGGATGGTGCGGATGCGGGTGCGGGTGTGCGTGAGGGTGAGGGTGAGGATGAGGATGCGGATGCGGATGTGGGTAGGAGTGGAGCTGTTGGGGCTGAGGCTTGGGCTGCGGTTGAGGCTTGGGCTGCGGTTGAGGCTGCATCTGCGGTTGAGGCTGGATCTGCGGCTGGGGCTGGGGCTGGGACTGGGGCTGGGGCTGGAGCTGGGGCTGGGGCTGGGGCTGGATCTGCTGCGGAGGTTGCTGCTGGACCAGGTGCTGCTGCTTCTGCCGCGTAGACTTGACTGCCAGTATGGCCTGACGGTTTTTGTACTGCACCATCTGCAACGTGATCTCCGCGTTCCAGCCCTGGTCCTGGGGGCACCGAAAGTCGATCTCTTTGCCCTCCGCCATCACCACAGTGAAGTACATGTACTTGCCCTTGCGCTCCACGCAGTCTACAGTCTTCATATTGGAAAAGTGCAATTCCTTGAGCTTGACTGGCGGCTCAAGCCCGGCGACGGTGGGACCACTAGGTTGGGACGGTTCAGCTGTGCCCTGCCCGGGCTGCTGCTGCTGCTGTTGATGTTGCAGCTGCTTGGGCGGGATGAGCAGCAGCCCTTCCTCGGTGAGGATGCAGCACTTTTTCTTCCAGAGCTGCAGCAGCCCGTCGCTGCGCTTCTCCAGCACTCCTTCCTTCAGCGCCTTGCAGCCGCTGCTCTCCAGCATCCTTCCGGCATAAGGGGTGCTGCTGCTCGGCTCGGCCTTTCGGCTTCCAGACGCCCGGGCTGGGGGCAGCAGCAACAGCCGTGCGCCGTCCTCACCCCAGCGGCTTCCGCGGCCGCCCGCCCGGAGAGCGCAGAGGAAGCTGACTCGCAGGAGGCAGAGCGGTGGTGGCGGCGGCGGTGGCGGCTCGGGATCCCGGCAGAGGGACAGCCGCGTCCTGACGCGCCACAAGATCCCGGAGCCGTGAGCAGGCTGCTCTCTGCCGTCCTCCCACGAGCGCTCACTGAAGGGCACTGGCCGGGCCCCCTCGCGGCGCTTTTCAATGGGCCACCCTCCCCACCCCCGAGTGACACCCAGCGGAAAAGGCGGCTCCTGGCGCCCGCGCCGCGGGGGAAAACCCAGCTCCGAGAGGCGCTCGGCAGCCGGCGTCCGCCTCATTAACTTGGGGCCTTCCCAGAGCCCGCCGAGGACACGCCCCCGCCCTGGCTCCGCCCCTGCTGCCCCCCCCGCTCCCCTGGGCGCTCTGGCTCCGCCCCAGGTATCCACGCCCCCTGTCCTGGCTCCGCCCTCTCTCCGCGCTCCGGCTCCGCCCCCGCCGCCCACGGCCTTCCGCGCTGACTCTGAGCTCCGGAAACGCCTGGCGGCCGGCTCCACGCGGTCGGTCGCCGAGGTCGCCGCGACTGCCAGGCGACAAATGCCTACGCCCAGAGGGCGCCGAAGGGCCATCCCTACGACCCCGCCTTTCCTTGGCGGGTGGGCTCTCCGCTGCCGGCCGTGCCTGGGGAGCAAGCCCTAGGATTAGCGCCGGGCGGGTTCGGCGGTGTGACTTTCCGAAGCTGTGTCAACAACTCAGGGAACGAAGCCCAAGAGTGCTTCGTATTTTTCTCAGTCACTAAAACAGTAACGCTACCGGTTTGATGTAGTGGCCGGGAAAGAAGAGTGGACTCACTCCAGGTATAATCTTTTCCCACCCCGGGCACAGGCAATAGCCAGATTCACCTCCCCTGCCCGCCAAGTTGTCAGGCTTTTTATGTGCTTTGTATGTATGTACGCACGCACGCATGCATGCATACATGTGGACGAAAATCATTAGTCAGCCGATTCCCTGGTGCTGGAATTTAGGTCGTGAGCCCTGCGGGTTCTGGGAATTGAACCAGTGTCCTCTACAAGTGGTGCTCTAACAGCGGAACCATCCACCTGTCTGGTCCCTTGGGCTTCCTTCCGGATCGAACCTTGCCCTCGGCATCAGTAGCAGCGTAGTTGCCAGTATTACAGCACACATAAGCCTCGGCAGGAGTCGTACAAACACTATTGGAACCTCCCATTTTTGTATTAAACACTTCAGAGATGCCGCTTCCTGGTAAGGCAGAAGAAAAGGCAGAGATCTATCCTTTGTTTACTTTCACCATAAGGGTAGGACGGAATAGTGGGGCTGGTCAGACAGGGCTGCTGCCATGCCACAGGAATCAAGAACACAAGCGAAGATAAAGTACTCCTTTGTGCACCATGCTAAGAAATCAAAACCTAATTTGAATTTCTAGCAGTAATGCCTTAACAGGATTCCAACCTTCCAAAGCACAATGGCTGATCAGATGGGCCAGTTCCAAACCAATCTTGGGTCCTAAATAGCTGTATTTCAGGGCCTTTCAATACTTTTTCTTGTAGACCAGGTTGGTCTCGAACTCAGAGATCTGCCTGCCTCTTATTCAATAAAAAATTAGAACTGCATAAATATTTCTAACGCAATTACACAGACAATATCTGTGTATATGAATAGATTTGTAATTCTGACTACTAAACTTGTTTTTCCCCTGCCTCTGTAGAACAAGTGAGCATTACAGTTCCTACACCAGAGGTTCAGCATTTTAGCAGAATGGCGCCCTCTTGTTATCTGTAAAGAACACTTCCAATCTATAATTAAGTCCCTGAAGCCAGGTGTGTTTGACAAAAACATGAAAACAAACCAGACTCAGTTTACTAGAATATAAAACACTCCCTACATTACTTCCAAATACATCCACCTAATTCTGACTAGACTTTCATAAACGTACACTAGCTGCAATGAACTTAATTATTGGAAATTTAAGTTTCAGAACTTTGTAGATTGAAATTCTGCTGTTTATTTCAAGAGTCATATTATCAACCTCACGGGCTATAGCGGTCTTTTTTCTTTGAAGTTAATGTCCCAGAGATAATCAAGCAATCATTAAATGGATAAAATGACTCCTTGGACATAGTTTACTAAAGGCTTATGGCACAATAGCTCTTGTCTAGATGCCCGAGCTATGGGACTACACTTTAGTCGAAATCTCTACTTAGGACACTCATTTAAGGACTCCAAGTATCCTACCTAAATGTCACCCAAACAGTTCCAGTCAGGGGAGGGATGGAGGGATGGGTGGGTGGGTGGATGAATGCATCACCGCCTTGTATACTGATCTGTAAGTGGTCTGGACAGCACAAATATTCAGAGGTGTCCACAACGGTGGGATGTGGACTACTGCTCCAAAGTCGTGCTCTGCCATAAACTCAGACATGCTTTCCAGTTTCCTGTGTACGTCAGTATGCCTCTAAAGTATTTAGATGTGCTGTAAAGACTGCAAATGTGTTAAGCACACGTGCCTTGTACCGATCTTACCCCTATCAACACCTAGCTATCACATTTAGTCAGACCCCATTTTATCCAAACAACCTCTGGAGCTTATTACCCCACCATCCTGACCCCGGGAACTACCCTCTGGGCAACTCCCCAATTTTAAACAAGTCTTGCAGTTACTTTCAGTTTTGCTCACACCACCACCTCAGTATAGCCTTGTCACTCTGAATCTGGAATCAGCACAGCTACCTTAATTTTTCCTACGGTACGCACTACCTTCCAGCAGTGATGAGTTCACTGTGCCCATCGTTAGTTTTCTTTACTGGAAATGTGTCAAGGCATGTTCACAGGGCACGGTGCTGCACACCTTTAACAGCTGTAAAGATGGTGTCTCGAAGTAAAACTCCAAGATGTCACACCACATGCACGTGGTGTTTTCAAAGTGAACTGTAACGAACGCTAAGCTGGCTCTTGGGAGACAGGCTCCAAATCTACAGACCCTGACAACACGGTCAGGGGTAAGGGTGCTGGCCTCAAGCTATTGTACCTACTGGTGCCACCTCTACCACAAGCACACCAAGACAAGCATTATCTTTAACCTTAGTGTATAAAACAAATTGCCCCAGCCATATTTCTCAGCCATTTCCTAATTTAAGAGGAAAAAACTCACAATTCTTAAATTTACAATTTCTAAGTCAATTTTCAAATCTACTTCTCATGCTTTTTGCACTATTAGCTGGTGAACTGATGCCCCCTAGTGACCACCTAGCATAGCACAGCTGAATGCCGCGCTTCAGTTAAGGGCTATAATTGCAACTTCACCTTACAGTACCTAATTGAAGGTCTAGGATTGCTCCTAGCACACCACAGAGCACTGTAAGGAACAAACAGTGCACCCACCTTTCCCCCCCCCACACACTCCTTTTCTTAGGCTGGGCACGGGACTAGGGCCTTGTAAAGGCACAGCAGACACCATCTAGACCTGGTCCTCCCATTACTAGGGAATAGGAAAACGACCTTTAATTACCCTCTAACCCTCACTGCAATTCCTAACTCAACACCTACCTGCACCTGACCTTTAGTTTCCACTCCTTCCACGGTGTGAATGTGTGTGTGTATGTGTGTGTTAAGTGCTAGTGCAGCCCAGAAGGGACCATCCATACCAACTGGAATGTTAACTCCACCCACGCTGAAGGCTCACTTCACTGCCTCTCCAAAGCAGCCTACATTTTCCCTGAGCTTTGAGCTTACTCCCGTCAAAGTGCACCCTTTTAATTCCAGGACTCCTGGAGGGACGCAGGCAGATCTGTGAGTGAACCAGCCTGGTCTACAGTGTGGTCCACATAGTAACTTTCTAAATAAAGATAAAAGTAGTAGTTAATCTCACCAGATACCCAAGGTTTAATAGATTCTATTTCACTAGATACACAAGGAGCTGTTTAAGTCTTCAATCTAAATGACAATTGTCATTGTAAATTCTTTTCAAATTAATACCATCAGATTCTGCTCTAAATGGCAAGCATGTGTCTAAACAACCAACCTCCCCATAATGCTGGAAACACCATATACTGAGTTCCAAACCACACCCCAAGACACATAGGCATCTAAGACAGGCTTAAAGTCCAGGAGCCCAGTCCAACAGCAGGCTGAAGACAGAATAGTAAAACTGACTTCATTTTCCTTATCGTCTTTGGGTACTACCAAACCAAAGAAAACGCAAAGAAGCAGGTTTTCTAAAGTTAGCTGATTTTGAAATTGAGGATAGCAACCATGAAAAACTTTCAGGAGTGCCATTGGTTTGGCTTTATTACCCAGTCTATTAGCATTTATGCTTACTTAGGCACCCGTTACTTAGAAGACTTTTGAAAGCACTAAGTAAACATTTAAAAGTCACATCTTGTTTTACATGTACATTGCTGTTTGTTTTTCAAGACAAGGTTTCTCAGTGTAGCCCTGGCTTTCCTGGAATTCACTTTGTAAATTGGGCTGGCCACCAACTCCCAGGAACCCAGGCATGCACCACCACCACCCTGCAAACTGGGATGGTTGTTTTCAAGGTGGGGATTCTGTGTAGCCATGGCCGTCCTGGAACTAACTCTATGCCAGCCTGGAACTACACATCCACCTGCCTCTCCCTAAGGGCTAGGATTAAATGGGTGGTCACCAGCATCCAGCTATTTTTCTTAATACAGGCCCATGGTCGAGGTTTAATCATGTCACCCACTTATGAATTATTCGTATACCTGGGCATTAAAAACTTTCTGGTGTGACTGCATTACTTCGGAGCTGGTTACCAGGATTGCAGTTTTAATTTTTAAAAAAATCTTTCCCATTTCATTCATATTATCCCTAAAGAGGTACTAAACTAGATGCCTCACCAACTACTACTTATTGGGGAGGGTGAGGGGGATCAGCTGTTCTACCTTTCCTATTAAAAATCCTTAAGTCAACCCAATAAAGTTGACCCACCACCGGGGCTGCTTTTTTGTTTCATTTGTTTTTTATGATACGCTTATGAGTGATGTCTGTATGGCTGGTTCCTGAATCTCCCTTGAACAGCAGTTATGTAAGTCACCAGAGTAGAAAGTGAACCCAGGTCTTCTGCAGTCCACCCCCATCACTTTTGAGAAGCCAGGGAGACCTAGGAGCCTAGAATTTACATATAAAACCAAGAGCACATAGGCACTACCAAACCCGAGATGTAATGAGAATACTTTCATATTAGGAAAATACAGCTAGCCATTACAGCACACCATGCTCAACTTTGTCAAGTGCTTCAGGAAAAAAAACAAAGACTGTATGCAAATGAGAACACAAAATGTCAGGAAAATGTCAAAGGAATCTATTAACTTCAAAGCCAGGGAGACTATCTCAAATTCTTTCTAAGCTGGAATTTACAGCCTCTATTTGCTAAGTCTCCTTGTGCAGCGTGGGCTCAAAATCCCTGAGTTACAGGGCAGTCTAGCAGTCACACGCGACCTACCACTTTTCTGCTGCACTCCCACTCGGATCTTTGACCTCCCCAATCTCCTATTGAGCCTCGAGCCTTCCCTCGCCTGTCACAGTCCGTGCCCCATCCTCACAATCCCAGCCCCAAGTTTTTATCCTGGCAGAAACTATTTTACCAACCCACAGCCATAAATAAACCTGCTGGGCTTGTCACTTGCATTTTTGATTAGTCGTTCCCAATTCCTTTTCAGTTCAGTTAAAAATGTAGTTTGAAAGCACTGCCTGTATTTTAAGCGCTTAACCATGAGCTTTATTTGAAATTTAAAGTCTATTAATGACTCACTTCCTGTTAAGTTTCCACATTGTTGTGCCCAATTTCTCTTTTGATATTAATTTGTCAAAATTCTAGATAAGATGTCAACATGAAAACAGGCACACAGCACGTGTTTTAAAAAAATCAGGAGAATTGATGCAAGCATCTTGAATTTCTACACCAAGTTTCATTTTTCTAAAAATGTGTACCTAATGAACCTTAGTCTAAGAACTTGCTTTGTTTTTAATCCAGGTTATAGTTTAACGTCTGGATTTATAAACCAGTACATATAACATCTGTTAATATCAGAATTACTTTGCCACTGCCAGATACATGTAGTTTTAGAAATGTGGTTTTAAGTGATTACCAAACACTGTTAAAACAAAATTGAGTTTATAATTATCAAGGATATATACAATGCAGATTAGAAGAAAACTGGAGATACATCTGTTTTCCAAAGTCCTTATAAATTATGCTTCTTCTGAATTATATATTCCATAAAGTCAAAACTAAGGCTAAAGGTCTTATTAGACTAACCAGTAAAAAATTAACTATAATCTTAATGCAAGCTTAGACTTAATTTCTGCACATCAAGAGTTTTCATTAACAGTTCATTTGTCATTAGTTTTTAAAGGTAATAGCCTGCAACTCAAATGACCCCAAATTCATACTGTCTTACCAACAGTAACATATTTTTAATTCAGCAACCTCAAAGCTTTTTAATCACCCAACATCTTAGCTAAACTAAGCATGAACTGAGGATCTCCCAAAGCTGATGTCTCCTTATGTGAATTTGTGAGGTAAGAGTTAGGAATCCCATTTTTCTGTTACCAAACCCCCACATTCCCTGACAGAAGTTACTACTGCTCCAGACAATGGAGGAAACTGAAGGGGCAGCTCAACCACCAGCAGAGACTGCTCTCTACCTATCAGATCTGAAAGATCATTGTCTTCCAAATTACTTTCTCAAAAGTTTGTACAGAATTGTACAGGGCTTACATCATGTCTTGGAGGGAAAATAATGAGAACATCTTGATACACCACATGAGTGGGATAGTTTAAGTACTGAGATTGAAAATCTGAAATGTCCAGAAAAAAAAAAAACATAGACAATGAGAAATAAGCAATGGAATTTCTTCTGCTCTTTGCATCACAAACATGGCTAAGGTTATCTTAAAATTAATTTTAACAGGCCACACAACAGCAGCTCTCCAATCTTCAAAGAAATCATGTTTAGTTGTAAAAACTTCAAATATCACCAGTGTATTTTATAAAATTAGATCCAATTTTATTGAGGATTTCAAATTACACATTTCAAACTTCTAGAATGGAGTAGAACCATTTGGGGGGCAACCAAATGTCATAATGAACACTGACGTCCACATGTCCGTCCACAAAGCACATTCCCAGTGTACAGGAACCACCAGCTACCTGATCACTTTGGCAATAGCTACTTCCTAAAGGAGGGAGGGAAAGACTGTGCTAGTTAAGCTCACTGAAAGGAGTCTATCTTTAAGTTACAAACTTTAATGGTCAAGAAAACAAGCTTGTGTTTAGATGAACTGTGATTACAGAAAATAGCATAATCATCTAAGAGAAAGCAATCAATCATTTTCAAAATAAAGGAAATACTATAACAGGTTAAGGATTTCCAGTAGTTAAATCTTAGGAAGAGGTTAAGATGTGTTCACATCCTAAGACCTCAACACTAAAATTTCACAAAAAGAAAAAAAAAATCTCAATGTAAAATAAATTTTATTAACAGCAGGAATGATAGACTGTCTGCCAAGCACAATCCATTTAATATACCCTGTGAAGAAAAGTTCCTTCCCCAAACGAACAGTAATTAGCCTGAGGTATTTTAAAAGTGGCTCTGCTCTCAGCATCTAAAACTTAGGTCACCCTCCCTCTGCAATGGCCTCATTACCATTATGGGGTTTATTAAAATGTGGTCACTTCAAACGCCTGAAAGGGGGGGACACTAAAAAGACAGTCTTTAAATTAATTCTCCAGTTTAATTATCCAAGCTCTTAAGTGTGAATATAATGCTGAACATCACACTTGTGGTACAGAGGCCTGATTTTTTTTGAGCATTTATAGTAAGACTAAGAAAGTTTGTGAGATTTACTCCAATATGCCTGTGAGGTAGTTAAATTAACAGTACTACCCATTCCTAATTGTCCACAGTAAACAGAAGCATGGCTGAGGGACACACTACTCATCTTTGGACACTAAGCATTAGAATAAACAGACGTCAAAGATACTTAGTTCTAAACAAATGGAATTTAACCTTTCTGTTTAAAAAAACAAGTATCGCACATTATTTGTTACTCCTTTTTAAAAGCACACGCCTATTACCTCTTGCAAAGTTGCTCACTATGGAAAACTAGGCATCCCTGAACTCAAGCTAACCCTCCGCAACAGCCTCAATCAGTACAAACTGAGACATCACCCTGTGAGGGCTAAAACTGTATGAAGTTTTTATTTTAGGCTATAAAACAAAAGTAGGCAAACAAACAAGAGAAAAACTCAAAATAGATTCAAATGATGTAATTCCATCCTTTCCAGGAAAGCAGAAGGTAGGCCCTACCATAAAGAAAAGATTTAATTAATGGAGGTTAATTTTCAAAGTACATTTAAATACTATCAGATTAACTTCTGAAAAAAATAAAAAAACCCTAGGGTTTTTTCATCTTGCTATGATAACTAATAACCATGAGTTGACTTCTGTTACAATTATGTCATCTGAAATAGAAAACTCCCTTAGTAATCTGTTACTAGGTTTGATCTTACTGGAAATTCTTAGCCACAATTTTCCTTTCTCCAACGTGTCAGTCACTGAATCGCCTAACATAATGGATGCCATTAGAGGATACAGGCCGACTTCAACCTGCTCTACCAGCTGCAAATAATTTTGGTTCTTGAGGAAAGAAACAGCTACAGCAAACAACGTGTTCAACAGTTGATTTCCGTACTTGTATTCCAACAGGTACATGACAAACCATCCACAAGAACCAAACTGCGGCATCAATAACATGCACTAGAGAGGATTTCTGCATTCAACACATCTGACAGAACTAGAGTTAGGATGCTAGGCAGAACGGATTGGTCTTTCAAATAGCAATTTCCTTTCCTTTAAAAACTTACTGATTCTACCAAGAAAATACAAGACATAGGCTGTAAGCAATGAGTCGTATTTAGGCTATTACAGGGTAGGCCGTCCTCAAGGCCACAGACATCCTGCTTCACTGCTGCTTGCACTCTGCTGGGTTCTGATCCTTCTGTTAAAGGAAAACAACAGGTCAATCTATCTTCTACCTACTTTACATTACTCAAATAATTAATTAGCACAGTATTTCAAGTCTTATAAGATTATGTTAAGAACAAGTGATATGGGATAGTGACAAATTAATGTTAACAAATCAGTGAAGTATACAATAAAGCTTTGGCTGAGATAAATTTTAAAGCTACCAACATGTTGGGCATTTATTTCCAAAGCTATTCTGTTTATATTTAGCTACCTTCTACTATTTCACAGCATGTGGTTGATAAATGAAATAAAGCAAATCCTAAATTTCAAATGAACCCTGCAAATTATTACAGACCCAAGGAGAAGTAGCTTCTATTAACCCTAAAATTCACAAGAACTGCATATACTACAACACTTTTTAGGGACTAAATAACAGTAATGATGGCTGGGAGAATCCAACACACAGCACTACTCTTGAATCCAAACAAAGCACTCCTGAACTCAGATCTCCTTTATTACTCACTCTCCTTTGGGTGGAAACAACCCGAGCAACACAGTTCTAATCCTTAAAAAGTCAAACCCCAAATGATGAGCAATGAAAGGCAACTCTTACTGCAAAAGGAAAGAAACAACACTGGCTTCGCTCACCTTGGGGTCATAGTCAGGGTCATTTTCCTCATCTCCTTCTTCTTCCCCTTCCTATATTAAAGTTCAAAATGCATCCATGAAGTAGGTACATATTAGGAAAAATTGGCTCATAATTTATGGAAATTTTAGGACAAGTTACTCTAAGGGTCAACAGACTTTCATGATTACACAGTTTGTTGATAATACAATTTAATTTGAAAGCTTCTAACATGAAAAATTTCCCAACACAACTTGAGACATCCAGACAGGTTTTATTGAAAAGATTTACTGCAGCCAACGTTGGAAAAGTTTACTGCAGCTTTTGACTTCTTCAAAGAGCTGATAACCCTGCAGCAGAACAAAATTATTTGAAATAAAAAAAAAAAATGTTGCTGAGTTTTGCAATTTATTTATTGAAACCTTATACATACATTGTTTGGCTGTAGAATTCTAAAATCGTATTTTCCAAAATTTATCCCAAATCACAGAATGATTATAGCAAAGGAATACATTAATCATTCAATGTGCTCCTCAATGTGTTATACAGTGAATTATTTGCTCATTTGGTAAACATTACCTCATCAGCTTCTTCCCCTTCTTCATCATACTGAAAAGAGAAAGACAAGCACAAGTGTGAATGAGTAACAAGTATTTTATCAGGTGGCACCTTCATCGCTGTGAAGTTAAAAAAAGCAACTAGAAAAATTCCCCAGCTCTGTGCTAGCTCTCGCCCAATCATTTAAGACTTCAAAGGATCTATACTGCCTATATAAACATGACCATTCTAGTTGCTTCATGCATCAAAATAGATCCAATGGTAACCAAGTTTCATCAACTCAATAATAAAATAAACGTAAGTGTAAAAGAATCCAAATATCCTAAAGACTTTTAATGATTAGTGGAATTACCATACCAATGTCTTTTATGTCCTACTTCTTTTGTTTTTCACAAAACTCTAACCCGTTTCTTAGCATGTTGACCATGGTACCCTCCACCAACAATGCACGGCAGGATTCATACTCATACTCACATCATCGTCATCATCTTCAATAGCCTCTCCCGTAAAGTACAACACTGATCTTGGGATTATCCGCTCCCGTAAAAAGTGACCAATTTCAAAGTCTGCAGCCAGTATGGCTTCGGCATCATCATCCTAAGAAGAAAATTGTCGTGAGACTTAACCTTGTTCTCCCATCACTTAAGAACAAACTTCTATACATGTAGATCAAGGGCTGGCTGTGCCAGCAGGCCAACATATACACAAAGAAAAAATCACACTAAATAAAAAAATAGAACTACTTATTACATAGGACGTTTGGTAAAGAGTAAGAGGCAAAAGCAACATTGCTACATGAGGGCAATTTTCTGTTGGAAATAATGAAAACGGCTGGTAAGATAGCTCAGCAGGTAAGACTCAATGGTTAACAGCACTGGCTGCTCTTGGGTTCAGTTCTCAGGATCCACAAAGCCGTGCACAACCAGTTCAAGCGGAGCCTATGTCCTCTTCTGACCCAGGAAGCTGTCAGTCACACAAATGGAACACATACACTGGAAAACTCATACACATAAAGCAGTAACAAGGAATCTTCAGCAGGCATGGCGGTACACGCCTTTAATCCCAGCACCTGGGAAACAGGCAGTGGATCTGTGAGACCAAGGCCAGTCTGATGCAAATAATTGAGTTCTAGGCCAGCCATATTGTAATTTAAGGTCTAGCTCTTTATTGTATACTAAAGTGAATAAACAACTTACCAGGTCTCCATTCTCAGGAACTGCAAAAATAAGAAAAGAAATCCAAATGTGAAAAAAAAAATAAAGTTTACACAAACAACCATGGATACAACCAAAACTAAGACACTGCTTACCTTCAGGAGGGGCAAAAAAATTAAAGAAAGAATCATTGGAAACTGTTTTAGTCACAGTTCGAACTGTCCCACGTCCCTTGTGTTTCTGCTTCTTTTTAATGGTTTTCAAAGTAACATTCTTTCCTTTTTTCCAATCTATCTGGCACCTTAGGAAACAAAGTATATACATTTTATGATATTTTAACATATATGACTGCTAATGTCAAACTAAAATTGTAGAGGACAATTGGCTTAAATAGCAGGAAAACTTTCTAAAAGTTTAAAATCTATATATTTACAACAGCGATAACACATGCTCTAAAGTAAATACTATATTCTTTCCCAGATATACAGGTATTATAGCTAGACCCAGAGGAAAAAACGGCAAATATGCAATGTCTGGCAATGTACCAATCTAACAGGATACACAAAGGGAATGAAATACTGTAAGCTCTGCCTACAATTAAACACAAACACAGCAGTACGATTAACTCACCCTGTACAACCCATAATCTCTGGTCCATCAAAAGAGAAGGGATCAGAATCATCTGGTTCTGACCTCATCCTGTACGTCTTTGTTAACACTTCATTAGTGAAATATTCATTGGGTTCAAAGTGAAATTCTAAGATAAAACTCTTAAGAGAAAACAAAGTGAGGCATTAGTGAACAGTCTGCCTGTGGATTGCAAGCATGCATCGCAGTCCAATGTTGACCTCATGCTGAAATACAGCCTAACAAGAACAGAAGAGAAACCCTAGTGTTCCCTTCTTCCCATCTCCTTACAGACCCTCACCTCAACACACGCAAAGACTACCTTTATTCATAGCTCTGCCCACAGTTGGCACAGGGGGAGTTATTACCTCATCTCTCTCCACTGAGGCCCTGTAGCTCCCACCTACCTCAAGTCCTTCCAGACACTCTTAACACACCGTCACCTTATTATTCTATCCACTAATGTCTAGGATCAATTAACTGCATACAATCACAACCACTCAAACCAAACAAGCACATTTAGGGAACACTAACTCGATTATCTTCTGTTTAAACTTATCTATAAACAGTACAAAAGTAGAAGTTTTTTTTTACCATAGGTTGGCCAGCATCTGAGAACTTCACTTTAATGTCTTTCAAGTGCTTCAGAATAGGTTCATCATGTTCCTTCAAATTAAAATAAAACTTATTATCTAATTTGGCATATCAGGGTCAATGTTCTGTCACTAATGACTAAAGGCAGTGTCTGTTCAGTGAAATTTTGTGTAGAAATTATGAACCATAAAACTTCACCAGATTGCCTGCGGTGGTGGCACACGCCTTTAACCCTAGCACTCGGGAGGCAGAGGCCGGTGATCTCTGTGAGTTGGAGACCAAGCTTGGTCACCCGAGCAAGTTCCAGGACAGGCTCCAAAACAGTAGAGAAACCCTGTCTCGAAAAAAACAAAAAAAAACTTCACCAGATTATAGCTTATGAAGCTATCTCATGCTGACTGACCAATTCTTTACAAATGTTTCCTGATTTTATCTGCTGTCTCTTCAAACTGTCCCCTTCTACTCTGGTAAAGCAGAAATGCAGTGTGCACTCACTGTTGACCCTCAGCAATCACAAGATAGGGAGGGCAATCAGTACAACAGAAGGCAACGGCTCAAGAGGCGGGAGGCAGTTTCCCAAATGTTAACATCTCTGCTGCTTTCCAGGTAATAAGATGTTTGTGAATGAGTTACATAGTTGGTTTTTGTTGAGACAGTTTCTCTGTAGAGCTTTGAAACCTGTCCTGGAACTCACTCTGTAGACCAGGCTGGCTTTGCGATCCACCTGCCTCTGCCTCCCACATACTAGGACTAAAGGCATGTGCTCCCCCCAACCCCCTACTCCACACATAGCTTTATATTTAAAGGTGTAAATTTCCCCTAGATTAACAAATTTCAAGCTGAAAAAAATGTAAGGCAATATAAATGAAACACCGATATTTTCTCAACAACCCTACACACCTTGATACAAAAGCACAGAAAAACAGGAAGGCATAGTAAATTATGAGAAAGAACCAATGGTTAATGTTCTATTTCATTACTAAAGTTTTAAAATGTTTCGATTAACCAGAGCCAAACTTTCTATGTAAAACTATAAATAAGTCAACTGATGGATTTTTTCTGAATTAAATTACCTGAACCATATCACTGAGCAAATCAACATTCTTAAAAACTGTCAACCAAAACTCAGGAATTCCTTTAGGGTCTTCTTTTTCTTCATCCTTTTTCTCGTCTTCAATCTTGGCCTTCTCTTTCAATTCCTCCTTGAAAAATGACAGCAAACATAGAAAACGTTAAGAACCACCAGGCAGATCAAGGGCTGTAGGTACATCGGAAGCAGAACGAGCACACAAGCGTAACTGTCCAATGTTCAGCCCGACACTTCCCGCCAGAATGGACTGACTGACTCCTCTCTAAAAGCAGCACCGCCTGTCACTGCTGTGGCCCTAGACTTGTCACAGCCGTTGTTCTTCACCAGTTACCATGAAGTTCAAAGGAGACTACACAGAAAGAAAGCCCAGACCACTACAAAAGCAGACAATGGCTCATCCACATTATTTACACTCCCCCCCCAAAGACATTTCCCAGGCATGAGAACCCAGACCAGAACTTCAACTTTTATAGAATAAACGTTACACGCCATCAATAGACGCACTTCTGAGAGCTCCTTATGATCCTATCACTTCAAAGTACAGGAAAATATCATTGATACTAACCGAAATTTCTTCCTCCTCATCTGGTTTCCATTCACATTCTTCTTCTGTAGGTTCATAAATTGCATTAATGATCTCAAATCGCTAAAATTAAAACAGAAAAAAAAAAACTTGTGTAAGAACATTAGCACCTAAGCTTAAAACTATTGCTTTCTGGTTAAGGGCTCCCACCACAACTTTCTAAATAGTTATTGATGGCTTCACAAATACGCATGCCCTTCAGATATCTAAATATCAGACATTATAAGTTTGCTTTCCCAAGTTAGTTTAAAGAGTAGTATAAGCAATTACCTTATCAAATAAAGGCTGATAGAGAACAGCATATTTCCTTTCAAGATCATGAACTTCCTCGTAGAACTTGGCTTCTATCTGTGCACATTTAACTTGAAGGTTTTTGAGGGCGTTCACCCGTCTTTTGACTACTTTAGGCAGGCTGAAATTTTAGAAACCAGTTACATAAAAATCATACAAAAACACAAGTCACATGTTATTCACATTTAATATGAAACATAAAAATTTCTTAGTTGAAGCAAGGAATATAAAAGCAATTAAGAGTAAATCAATAGAAAAATCAAAACTACAGACTCTCAATTACAATTATGCAAGAGTGCATAAGAAGTTAGAACCATCATTCTAACACAAAGTAATTATTTTATTTGTGTAGACTCCTACCTCATCTGTATTAAGTAGGCCAAAAAAGAACACATATGGACTTTAGAGGAATGAGAGCTTTCCACTTTCTACATTTGGAACTTACATTAAGAACATTATGGAGAATATGCAATTTTCAGACCACCTGTTTAGTGTGTTCATTATTTAAATCACAAACAAATACATGAACTCTCCCTTCTAGCTTCATTCAAAGTTCAGTCAAGTAAGGCACACTTAAAATCTTAGAAAAATCGGTGGATTTCTCCAGAATGGAGTAGAAGGTAGAGAACCAGCTCCCATACACTGTGGGGGTGAGTGTGTGCTGAAAGAGAAAACAGGAGAAGGGAGAGCATCACACCACCTCAGAGTGAGGCAGGAAGCAGCATGGGCTGCTCTGCCAGTTACTGCCTTATCCCAATATAAACCCTGGAATACTAGAGCACGCCACAAAACTCTCAGGAAAGCAGGCACGCACAGCTCTGCAGTCAGCTTTAAAGCTGTCTCTCTCATTAGTATACATACAATAAACTCAACCATGGGGAGGAGCAAGCTGATGACAAGGTAAGAAACTTTCCATTCTGCTCTTCCCTTGGACAACTACAGCGGTCTTCCTAGTCAACAATATTGAAGACAAGATTTCAAAGGAAAGTCAGTAAATTTATACCAATCTTCAAAGCTAAACACCGTTCGCAACAGAAAAAAATTTAGTCTGAAGAAATGACTTCACAATGTTGGTCAAGAAAAATGTACATTGGGTACATTAGGCTTTTCCAAGAGGTAAAGCGTATTGTTTAAAGCAATTTAATGAAAAGGTCCAATACTACTACATAAGGTATGATATTAAATTGAACCATTGTTATGAAGGAGAAAACAGTATTTAAAGCAGTACACATCTTTAAAATATCGAGTAAGCTATACAATAGAAACAGCTGTTTACAAGCCAGTGAAGTTAAGGACACAGGACGGACTAGCTACGAAACAAAGGAAGACACAATAAAAGGTAGCTCCAGTCAGTCAAAATGTGATTTCACCCTCAGGACACATAAAGCTAAAGCCCACAACTGCTTGTAACTCCAGATTCAAAGGGATCCCACACCTGAATCCCATAAGGGCATTCATACACATATATGCATGTATGTACATAACACAAACGGAAAAATGCTGTCCTTGGTCTGGAGTGACACATGCCTATGGTCCCAGAACTTGGCTGTCAAGAAGCTACATAGAAGCCTGAGGCCAGATTAATGCTAGAAAAAAGTATAGCCAGAGAAACTACAAAATACAAGAGTACAGACACGCACAGCCACTGATTTAAAATTCAGTCTACAGTGGGAACTGGAACCCATGTTTTTCACATATCCTTTCTAGAACTTTCAGACCAAGTAAACTGCACAGAAATAAATAGATAGCTCAAGGAATACAATTTTGCTGAGCTATTATGGTGGGGTGCTTTCTTCCCTCTCATGTAGGGAGAGCTGTGCAGATAAATCACAACACTGGGATAGCTCTTGCACTTCTGCGTGCTGTCCTCTATTAAATCAGGGTAATCAGGGTTCCATCATTTGAGTACCAAATGCCTTACCTGCTATCTTGACGCGCCCCCTCCTGGTCAGTATTTGCAGAATAGTTACAAAAACAAGAGGGCTAAAAAACTGGCTCAGTGATTAACAGTGTTTACCGTTCTTAGAGGTGACCCAAGTTCATTTCTGAGAACCCATGTTGAACTGCTCACAGCCATCTGGTAACTCTAATCCAGGCTTTATAGTTCTTTTCTGGCCTCCCTGGGCAACCACATATGCACATAAATAAGAAAATAAATCTTTAAGAAAAAGAATGCTAAGGCCATGAAGGACAGATTAAACGAAGAGGCAAAGCAAGTATACAACATGGCCAGAGACAAGTGAGAGAGAGCAGCCACAGAAAACACTCGAAAGAAATTCTAAGTAAAATTAAAGAAAGCAGGCACTCAGAAGGCAGAGGCAGGTGAATCTGAGTTCAAGGCCAGAAAGTTCCAGGACAGCCAGGGCTACACAGAAACCCTGTCGCAAAACACTGAAAAAAAAAAAAGAGGTTCTTAGAAACATTATTATTTTAAGTCTAAACTACATTCTACAAAACAGCAAACCAAAAATTGACACCAAAAAAAAAAAAAAAAAAAAAAAACCACTGCAGAGGATGTAAGGGTAACAGACACTCCTTATCGGGAGTGTAAATTTGTACAGCTGTTGTGGTTGGACATCAGTATGGTGATTGCTCAGAAAATTAGGAATCAACCTACCTCAAAGACCCTGCAATACCACTTTTGGGCATATAGCCAAATGAGGCACACTTCACCCTACAATGACATTTGCTCAACTGTGTTCATAAGAACATTATCTATGCTCATAAGAGCAAAGACGGAACTTGGAAATAACCTAGATGCCCCCTCAACCAAAGAATGGATAAAATGTGGTGCATGCCTTTAATCCCAGCACCCGGGAGGCAGAGGCAGGCTGATCTCTGAGGTCAAAAGAAACCAGCCTGTCTACAAGACCTATTCCAGGAAAGCCCCCAAAGCCAGAGAAGCAAAAAAAAAAAAAGGAAGGATAGTACATTTTGCAACCAACAAGGCAAACATAATATGTACTCGCTCTTAAGTGGATACCAGACATAAAGCAAATGATACCCAGCCTACAATCCACACCCCAGAGAAGCTAGAACCCACCTGCAGAAACAAATCGAAGCAGATGCAGAAATCCACAACTAACCAATGGGCCAAGCTCCTGGTTTACAATCAGTAATATGAACAAAGGAGTCAAGACCATGATGGGGAAACCCACAGAAACAGCTGGCCCCAGATAGATAGTGAGCGATCACTGACTCAGGTCTGACAAATGGGGAACCTGCATAGGACAATGCAGCAACTGGGGCAATGAAACCACTGGCAGCGGGTCCAAGATCTAACACTAATGCACAAACTGACTATAGAGATACTTTGGTCAGCCTAGACATGGGGGAGGGGGTGCCTTGGTCATGCCAAGATGATGGAACAGACTTAGTAGACTTCCTAGGGGAGGCTAACCCTCTGAGGAGCAGATAGGGCGGGAAGGGGGTGGAGAACTGGGATGGGAATGTAAAAAAAAATTAAGAAAACTTGGACAAACCAAATTAGATTTTAAAATAAAATGGTAGCCGGGTATCCTAGCACACTCCTTTATTACCAGTGCTTGGGAAGCAATGGCAGGCAAGATCTCTGCTGTCAACTCTAGGTCAGCCTGAAGGAAGGCTACCAGAAAGGAAAGGAGGGGGAGAGAAGGCTAAACAAGACCAGGATTATGTTGCCAGCTTCCCATAGTGGCCAAAAAGGCTTTAAACCAAACCCTCTTCTGACCTCCACAGCCATCAGGCACACAATCTCAAGCAATAAACTCATATACATACAATTATTTAAAAAGTAGCTCCAAACTCCCCAAAAGCATTTAACTTCAAATTCAAAAGTATGTGCACAGTTTTAGTTACTTTCTACCTTAAAGAAGTTGCTGCAGAAAACTGAGAATAAAAGAAACACTCCTGGGCTGGAGAGATGGGCTCAGTAGTTAAGATCACTGGCTGTTCGTCCATAGCTCTTCCTGAATTCAATTCCCAGCAACCACATGGTGGTTCACAGCCATCTATAATGGCTCTCTTCGGGCATGCCCTCTTCGGGCATGTAGACAGAGTACTCATACATAAAAAGACCAAATACATAAATATAATTTATTAAAAAAAAGAAACATTCCTGCTCATTGTTAAGCAAGTGAAATCTTAGTTCACAACTATTAACAACCCATGGAAGTTTCTTTGTACACAAAAGTATATACACACATACATACATAAGCTTATTTCACAAATAAGTGATGTAACATACTAATTGTTTATTCCTAGGTGATGGGACTAGTTTGACTTCAAATATACTGTTGAAAGGGAAGCAATACTACTGGATACATTGTTAATTTTAAAAAACACAGTATTTCTCCATATAATCAGGAATACAATATAAAATACTATTTCACAACAGGAATATCACATAGGTGATACAGAAATGAAATAACCTATATTCTAAGAAAACCACAAAACTGAAATATAACATGTGCTTACTACAAATACAAGTATATGGATGCGATGGCACTAAAGATACATGGCTTTGTTAATCTATGAGTTTCGCTGGAACTGGCAGCAAACATTCTGAGTTAAATTGAGAACCCTGCTAAACATGTGGGATGGACGTGTAGGCAGGTTAGCTTCATGACTGTATTTCTCCATGGGACAGAATGGAAGGAAGCACCCTGTCAGTTAGACAAAGACAAAAGAATGTCTTGACCAACGTGAAGACTGCTTAAGAGTTCAGATTATGGAAGCAACTCAGGGTCTCAGAGGTTAACAACACATACTATGAAGCAATAGCTGCTAAATGTGTCAAAAGACAAAAATAGACCAGTAAAACCAAAGTATTCCATTCACAGACAAATTCAACTATGTAAAAGAACTTCCTATGATAACCAGGTGGTACATGTATAAATGGAAAATAGTAAGTTAAGGCATGGATGTTTACCTGTAGTAGACCAAGAAGGAAATTAAAGGGCCCAAGAAAAGAGTTCCTAACAATTTGAATCCACAAGTCATCAGCACAAAATAAAACACCATCCATTTTGCTAACACAAAAAATTAAGGATTTGTTTCTGAAGAACTCTATAAATAGGATATTTTTTGCAATAAAAGGAGAAATATATAAGAATTTCTATAAAATATGACAGTAACCTCAGTAAAATGGAAAAAAGGTACAAATGGACTACCCAAGGCTCACACATTTGCTGAAAAGCAGCTCCAAATTTACTGTAGAAATGCAATCAAAACAAGATCATACCTTCTAGGCTGGTTGAAAAGAAAATCTACAAAAAGCTGGATACCAAATTTTGGCAGACATGTAAGATAAAGCCACCGTCAGATTAAACATCCCTGGAAAGAAATCTCAGCACTTATAGAAATCTAGCTACAAGTCCTAAAGATTGTTTGCTAAGTAGGAATTCTACCAAAACAGCCCAAAGAAATTCTTACAGTCCCTAAGGGGAGATACAGAACAATGGGTGCCATCCCAGTCCGAAGAAGCAGGCAACAGAATAGCAGACACAACCAAGGGACCATTCCAATAGCAGAATAGTAAACACGGGCCTTGAAATCAGAAAGCTGAATGATGCAGCACATGAGATAACCCATATTTTTAAAAAAGACAAAAGAAACCTGTATTTCTAATTCTGCACATTTCTTAACAAACTTACTAAGCAAGTCATAAGAAATGACTAGGATCAGTTTACTTCCTGCAGACTTGAAGCAAGTCAAGACTCAACCTAATCAGAGCTCTATATTCTTATATCCACAAAACTACAGACATTAGTGTTCCATGATCACAGGTAAACTCCAATGGCTTTTTATAGAAAGATAAACAGGAGGGTAGAAAAAAAGAAGGAACTTGTACCTTTCAATGTATCCTGTTGGTGTGTCTACCAGACCATCCAGTCTTTCCTGAAGGGCTGCAAGAATCTGAGGATTTTGCATCATCTGAACAGTCAGCTGACGCGCTTTTAAAAAGAAAGGGGGCATTGAAAGAGTGATTTGTGAAACCATTTCTGCTATTTCTACTGAACACCAATCATCAAGTCTTTGCTAACAGGCCCATAAAATGCTGTTATGAGGAGTAGAAATGTGTAGGGTAAACTCAGGAAAACCCAGCACTTACAAAAGTTTGGGTTTCTAGTGATATTTACCTCACTGGATTTCTCCAGGCTATTATCACAAGCACAACGGACAAATCCTCTCTAATCCTGATATCTTACATTTCACCACCATGCACTTGGGGAAGCTAAAAGCTTTGTCCTACCGAAGACTCGACAAGTGACCCAAAAGGAGACAACACTTACCAGGAAATACTAAGTATACTTTAGGCCAGAGAAAAGTGAAGGTGCTATCTGAATGTTTGTGTTAGATGCTTTTATTTTAAGTACATTTAGTTTTTGAGAGTATAACAAAATCATTCAGTTACAGTCTTGGAGACCAATTTGCTTTTAATAATAATACAGTAACTAGATGATACACAGCTGTAATAACAAGCATTTAATAACATCAATTAAAGCAACTGAAAATTTTTCAGAAAGAAGGCTTAACTCAGTATTTTCATTAACAAAAATTCATCTGGCTAAAAGTGAAAAAGTGAATCACTGGTTACTTGAGCACTCCTGGAACATCTACCCACCCCATCAGTACTACTGCACAAATTCCTCGAGGTAAGCTTTCATTGATCCCACATACATTTAATGTAATAAATGCTGATGTTTAAGAGAGTAAATTGTTTTAAAGATAAGACACAGAACACCTTCTATGTATTTAAATAGTAAACATAGTTTAGAAGCATTGCCAAATAACTCCCACTTCCACCTCCCTAAGTATGACATAGCTGGATGCTTTCTAATTCCAGCAATGGGAGCGAAACATCAATGAGTTATCACAATTATCTCTTCCTTGCTTACTGCTTCATCTCTTACACAAACAGTTAACTAAACTCAAGGAATTGGTCAGGAGATAAAGGACAATGGACAAGGTCCAGAAAGGGGGGACAGTTCCTATTACTCTCCTCTAGGACACACGCCAGCAACTGTTGACTCCTAAAGTAATTTAAAAGAATACCTTTGATTTTTGTTTCTTCACCCATTTCTTCTTCTTCTACTTCTTCAACGTCATCCAAATCTTGATCAAGTTCAGACTGTTCTTTGCTACAATGTCATAGCATCACACCATTGTTTAAATATATGAATTACAAAACAAAATTAGAGAAACTTGTATCGACTTTCTAATAAATATGGTTCTTTCTAAGGACAGAAATTCTAAAGTAGTTCTGTTTCCTAACTGCAATATGCAGACAGGTACTAGCTGAAGTATTTCACACCTCCACTTAAAACCATCTAGCCAAAAACAAGTTTCAAGCTTTACAAATGCAGTTTGGTAGGTTTGTGAGGTCAGGTAGCATGTTTTCAAACTTGGATTCAATGACGGCATCCTTGCATCTCTGTAATGAAGAGTGCTACCATTATTTTACAGGGCTGCAAAATACCAAGATGAAATCCGTTTCCTTGCTGGTAACTATGACCATGTTTTGGCAATGACGTACATTGGCTTCTTTGTACATTTTTTTCACGTAGCCTACCCAGGCACCTAACTTGCTCTGTAGCTGAAGAAGGCGGCTTTGGAAACTTGATCCTCCATAGTGCTGATCCTCCACAGTGCTAAGACTACAGGCTACACCACCATGCCCAATTGTTGGGTTGTTTTTGTTTTCTTTTTGTTGTTAATTTTTTTTTGTTTCAGTTTATTTATGAGACAGGTTCCCTGTGTTAAGTCCAGGCTGTTCTGGAACTTGCTCTATAGACCAGAGTGCCCTCCAAGTGCTGGGATTACAGGGTGTACACTACCACCATCTGGCTTGTTTTTGAGATGGGATGTTTGTCACCCAGAGCCCTGGCTCTGGCAGTGAGATCTGATAAAACATGTTATTTAAAGCTTTAAGAATCCTTATAAAATGGTAGATAGGCAGAAAACCTTTTTGAGTTTGACCCATCCTTCTGTTCTGAAGCTATAGAGACTTCCCAGAAAATATAGGTAACCACACTAAGGATGAAGATGTTAGTTGAAAAGTAGAAAGAAAGAAAGAAAGAAAGAAAGAAAGAAAGAAAGAAAGAAAGAAAGAAGATAAAGAACTTAAAAAGGACAACCGTGGCATATGTCTTTAATTCCAGCACTTGGGAGGCAGAGGAAGGCGGATGAATCTTCGAGTTGAGGCCAGCCTGGTCTACAGAGTGAGTTCCAGGACAGCCAGGATTATGCTTGGGGGGGAGGGGACCTGTTATCTCTGGTTATGAACACTTTACTTCACAGTAAAAGTGAAGAAATGTTTAGACTTTTGAGCCAACACCTTGCTTAAATCTTAGCCACAACAGTTCCATTAGGAGAAACATGACGTCTTTCTCATCATCTTGGAAACATCAGCAAAACCCTACTCTGTGGGCATAACATTCCATAGAGAGGGTAGAATTAACAATTTTCCTAATTTTGGTTTGGTTTTGACAAGGTTTTGCCATGTGTAACAACAGGGCAATTTATAAACTCTATCTTCCAACTGCAACCTGCAAGTACGAAAGTATAGGAAAGTCTATGATCCCATCAACAACAGCCAGAAACTCAGGACCAATTCCAGGATCTGATACTTAGGATCGTTTGTGCATGCATACAGAGCCAGAGGCTGCTATTAACACACACACCGCCACTCCTTTATTTATTACTGAACAAGTCTTTAAAGACATGTCACAAACTTTATCATATGGCCAAATCTAACTTACTTCTATGTTTCTAGAAATACCGCAAATTTGTATTAGAACAGATATACTAAAACAGCAAAGGTACTGCAAGCAGTCTCAAGGCTCAAAGCAACTAAAAACACTCACTCCTAGGTCTTTCTCAGTTTACTGCCTTACTTTGAGGGGTCCCTTCTCTCACCTTCCCAGGGATACCAAACAGCCATATAGAATTAAATAGTAGGGGGGAGAAATCAAGCTGTTAATCAATTTGTGGTTTAACTGTTTACAAAATGATGGCTACTAAGCTAAGATAGCAGATTAATGGCATCTAATTTTAATTCTTCCAAAGCCAACTTAAAACAAAGGATAAACATTATTTAAGGGGTTAAGACTAAATGTCAAGGAAAAGAGAACAAGATTCAGAACAGAAGGGAGCCAAGATCAAGAGAAGCTAAAGCAATAGATTTGAGAATACAAACAGAAAAATAAAGTTCTACATCTGTCCAGAAGGAGCAAAGAGACAGAGATTAAAAACCAGAAGACCACTCCCAAGATACATCTAACAAGAACTACAGAAAGAGAAGAGGCAAGCCAATGAACAAAATAAATAAAAAATATGCCTTAGAACTGATAGCCACTGGATTAGATGGACAGACTCAAAGGGTCCACTCCTTAATGGCAAAACTAAAACCAAATTAAAGAAACTTTTACAATGCATGTGACCAAAGAACTGTGGCTTTGAATTTCAACATCACACTGGAGACAAAGTAACAACAGAGCAGGAGCTTAAAAACTGGATTAAAATGTTCATAGAATTGTATACCCTAACTATCAAGCATAAAGAACAGTAATTTTCAGTCATGCTACATATCACAGTAATATACTTCCATGTACTCTTCTAAAGAGAGCAAGCATATGTAAAAACACAGGCGAAATAGTCATACATATTTGTATGTGTTGCCCTTACAAGTTGTATTCCCCCACTCCTTATTATCTAAAGTCAATGGCAATCTTAATCACAAGTGTTGCATTGTAACTACTGTGACCCGGTAACGCTGTCAAATTAAACATGATTAATCCTATGTAACCTATCCCATTCTCCCTGACCATAGTCTTAGAAGATATGCACCCACATTAGATACACATGAAAGCTTGCTGACACCATGTTTCAAGTTGTCAGAACCTGTCTATAAACCTTATAGAGTCTCAGAAAAGTTTAGCAACTATGCTTTCAGTACATAATCAGTTCTTAAAAATTCAACTGTTGTTGAAGAGACAGCAAAGTGGCAGAGCATGACCTAGCATGTGTGAAATCCTAAATTCAAATCCTAGTATGGTGCCACCTGCTTCCCCAAACCAACATTAACATTCTAAAGAAAGCAAAGGAATGAATGAAAACAAAACTACTTACAACTTTTGGTAAAAAGATGGAGAATGCAATTGAGACAGGCCAAAAAGGAAGATTCTAACAGCGTCTTCCCACTTTTGATTGTATGCTGTTTCACATGTTCCAGTGTTAACTGGAAAATGTTGAGAAATATATACATGCTAAAAATTCTACCAAGTATTTATGATCTACTACCATGCTCAGCACTTCTTTTTTGGTTTCTCTTTGTAGCAGCCTTGGCTGTCCTGGAACTCACTCTGTAGACCAGGCTGGCCTCAAACTCAGATCTGCCGGCCTCTGCCTCCTGAGTGATTGCTGGGATTAAAGATGTGTACCACCACTGCCTGGTACTCACTACTTTAAGGCTAAACACTGACATATGGTTTACTGTATCTTTTCCTTGCTTTCTTGGAAACAGGTTCTCACTATGTAGTTCTTGGTTATCCTAGAACTTACCCTGTAGGTCAAGCTGGCCTCCAATTCACAAAGATTTGCCTGCCTGCCTCCAAATGCTACACCTGGCTTTTTTTCTTTTTAATGTGCCCTAGGCATGAAACAGCTTTGGCCACCAAGCAGGCATCAAGCTAGGATGAACAAAGGGCTACTATCTGCTCTGCCCCTGACTGATATAAGAACACCACCACCAACAAGGTGTCTCTTTGCCCATTGCCAGGGGGCAGTTTACTGAATGAGTGATTATAGATAATGTATTTTAGATGAGATACCCAACTTTCAACAGAGCAGGTACCAAAGGGTATCAGCAACAGACATTTTTATAATATACAATTTGTACTGCTACTAATTACATCACAATACAAAGTCTCTATAAAGAAGTGAAATATCTACCACTTACTTGTCAATGTCTGCCATCTTATAAGAACTCCAAGTATCTAAGAGAAAAAAAGAAATCAGCATTAAAAACAAGCACGTGTTAAGAAAAAAAATCATGGTACCTTTAACCCCAGCACTCATGGCAGAGAGATCTGAGTTTGAGGCCAGTCTGATTTACAGGTGAGCTCTAGGCTTGAACCCCCCCCCCAAAAAAATCATGGAATATACAAAGACTCCGCTATAAAAAACAATTTTCAGAGGCTAGGGTTTTGTAATTTCATAGACAAAAGTACATTTACTACAATTATAGAATATTAGTTATCTTTATTCAAACAATGATAATGGATGCTTTTTACTTAGCCCCCTTAGAATCATTCTGTTATTTGTTTTCCAACAGTCTTGGTTGTCCTGGAACTCGCTTTACAGACCAGGCTGGCCTCAAACCCAGGCCTGCCTCTGTCTCCTCGCTAGTGCTGATATTAAATGTGTGCTGCCACCACCCAACATTTTCTTTTCTAAAGACAGGCTTTCATCATGTAACTCTTGATGGTCTGGAACTCACATCATAGACTAGGCTAGCCTCAACACAGAGATCTATGTGCCTCTAACTCCCCAGTGCTGGGACTAGAGATATCCACTTTGTATCTTAATCTACGCTTTTTAACAGTATTTCAGAATGACCTTTATGTATTGTGTCTGCACCATGTCATAGGTGGAAGTCAAGGAAAATTTACAGGCTGGTTCTCACTTTCTGCCATGTTGGTCCTGGGGATGAAATTGAGGTCATCAGGCTTGGCAGCAGACACTTTACCCAGTAAGCTATCACTATTATTTTAACTCCAATTCATTTCAAAAAGCAAAACTTTGCTTAACTACAGCCCTTCCTATGACTCTAGAAGTCTTTGAAAAACTGCATCTTTCAGCTATTTTTATGCAAACTGGTCCCAAATAATGCATTAGTATTACTGAGAGACAGAGGCAAGCCTGAGCTAAATAGAAGACAGCCATCCTCTTATGTTCCTCTCGATATCTGGAAGCTTCTAAAGGTAGCCCACTGAAACAGGGTTTGGATGAAGAGAGAACAGCAACTGAAAGCCAACACTACAGCAGTACAACAGCACAGTTTAGTTCTCCGTCATGTATAACCGCTCAGATCAGCAGGACAGTCTTGTTCTGTGTGACCACTCAGAAGCCTTCCATTATGTATACCGTCTTTGGAACAGTTTCCCTGCACTGAAGACTCAGCCACCAACACCTACACGATTATCACTAGAAAAAGAACCTAGAGATGGCACTGGGAATGCCTTAAATGTTCACACTGTATTAGCAAGAACTTAGCAAAACACATCTCATTGGATTGAGTATGTGAGTCCACGTGTATGAATGGTGCTGAGGAATCTGAACTCATTCACGGCTCTCACTGAGCAACAAGTACTGTTTTTAATCCATAATCGCTCCAGTCTTTCCCATTTGCTTTATGCAGTGTATATTAGTACTTTAATTTTCTCTAGCAACAGCTAGTGCTTATAAAATGTTTAAGCAATTATGAATACTAATTTAAAACTATCAAGAACATTGATTCTTTATCTCTAGTAAAATACAACTGAGACTATTTTATATATATATATATATATACATACATACATATATCTTTCATTGCAGGGGAAACTAGAATGAACACATGTTCTTATACCTGGGTTAAGCTACTTGTCTAGAAAATAATTTGGCCACTAAGCTACTACACTCCCAGTTCCCTAAATAAGAACTTTGTACAAAGGCACAAGAAACAATGAAAACAATAGGGATAAGTGAGAATTTTCCTTAAAACAAAACAGGGTTTCAACATGTAGCCCAGGCTGGCCTTAAACTATGCAGTCTAGGAGTCTCCAACTCTTAGATCTTACACCTCACTCTTGAATGCTAGAATAAACATAAACCTAACAACATTTTTCACTATTTTGTTTCCAATATGCACCAACATAATTGAATAACATCTTACAACTTGCTGGATTAAATAAATACCCCATCTAGTAAACCCTGTAACTGTTACCTGACATCCAGAAAGTTCTCAAACAAACTGTTTTACCAAGGCATTCTCAATTAGCACAGACAGGGTCAATGTTTTTGCAAATAGGTTAAGATGATGTGACAGTTAAGAGCACACCCCACAAGGGATACCGACTGTAACAGCTGGTATTGTTAACTTGGCAGGATCTGGAATCACCTAAGGTCAAGCCTCTCAGCATGCTTGTAACAATTATGACATCAATCGAAGTGGGAAAACCCTGTATGTACACAGCTCCATTCTATGTGCTAGGGTCTCACACTAAGGAAAGTTACTGGAGTGCTATAGCCTTCATCTCTCTAACCAGCTGATTCAAGCTCCTATCACCCACCATGACTTCCTCACCACAACGGACTACTGAACTTGAACTATGAACCAAAAGGCACCCTTCCCTAAGTTGCTTCTTGATGCTATCAGAGCAACAAAGAGTACCTTGCAGATATTTAGCAACTCAAAACAACTTTTGTGTAAATCTGAAAGTTAGAAAAGGACCTAAATATAGGCAAAGCAGATGATTGGAGGCATGCACGCAATATATATATCTCCATGCAATCTCACTAGACTATTCTGTTACATATACCATACCCTTAAGTAGAATGAAAGTGATTCCAGGTTTATAGTCTACGAAAGATGTAGGGCAAATAGTTGTATCTAAAAAGATTTGTTTTTCATATGGTACCACTCACTATATTGTTCAGGATGTGCTCAAACTGCTAAGCTAAATTGATTCCCCTGCCTCAGATACCCTAGTGCTAACAGGTGTACACCACAATATCCAGCTAAATATTTCCACCATCATTGGAGCAGTAAAACAAAATACAATCCTAACCAAAGTGTTTTATCAAACTTTCCTACCATGAGGGGAAAGCTTGCAGTTTAAAGTGTAACTCAATATTGCACACATCATCTCAATGGGAAAAGATGCTGGTTTCTAAGTGAAGTCTTCCACACAAGTAGAAGGGAGGCAAAACAAAACAAAAACCCTGACTGCACAAAAAAACTGATCATTACGGTCTTGGAGAGCTAGCAGCCAGATATCCAGCACCTACTACCAACTTACCTTCTGGTGGATCATTTTCTGGAAAAATTCCCATGCTATCAATCAGCATGCTTCCTCCTTAGAAATCAGTGACTTATGATGAAGCAGGCAGTCACTTGAAATGTGTATGCTTTAATGAGACACCAGGAAACTCAATGACTGGACCTCTCTCTCAGACCATGCCCACCCCAGAATTTCAGATGGGGCTGTTCTCTTGGAGCACTCTTCTTCATCAGTCCAGGGAGCAGCACCAGATGTGGCTTCAACAAGAGTCTCAGTTTAAACAGCAACCCCCCCCACTCCTTCATTCTAGTGATACCAATTCAAGTTCCAACTGGCCTGTCCATGCATTAAACTCCCAAGCAAAATGGACTACTTGAGAACCTCACCTTCAGTCCGAAAGCTCTCCATATGGAGAGGACTATCATCTAACCCAACCGCAGAGGTTCATGTACAAGGATTGGCATTTGGCAAAACTCCTCACTTACTAGTAACAAGCTATATTCAACTTGCATTTTTATGTGCATGTGACATACATAGCTTACATACACAAAGGCTTCTAAGCAGACACTATTTAATTACACACAAGCCAATTCCATATTGGAACAAAAATCACCCGACTACACTTGCTTTTCCCCCCACAGCAAAATCTAGGACAGTGCTTTTGAATTCCACACTGATGTCCAGTGTTTCAAGTCAGACAACAGTCTTTAAAACCCAATATATGCTGGGCGGTGGTAGCACACCTTTAATCCCAGCACTCAGGAGGCAGAGGCAGGCAGATGTGGAGGCCACCTGGTCTACAGAGCTTCAGAACAGCCAGGACTAAAGAAAGAAACCCTGTCTCAAAAAACAAAACAAAACAAAAAAAACCAATATACAGTCAGGTGATGGTGACTCATGCCTTTAATTCCAGCAGAGGAAGGAGGATGAATTCAACGTCAGCCTGGTCTACAGAGTTCCAGGATAACCAGAGCTATGTAGAGAAATCCTTTTTGGAAAAAAAAAAATAACAAAATAAAACCTCACCAATATAAAGGGGCTAGAGAGATGGCTTACTGTCTAATTGTACTTGTTTTCCCTGCAGAGACCAGGAACCCACTTGGCAGCTCACACTAGGATCTGACACTCTCTTCGAACCTTTACAGGTACCAGGAAAGCAGAGTGTACAGCCATACATGTGAGCAAAATACTCACACACATAAAAGCAAACTAAAGAAAAAAAAAAAGAACCCAACCTGATCATTGTAAAATCCTGAGTAAAGTCTTCCACACAAGTAGAGGGGAGGCAAAACAAAACAAAAGCATCTGTTTTCTAGTTAACATGTTAGTGCTACTAGTTAACTACTACTAGTTAAAACGTTAGTACTGCCACCTAAGCCTTGTTTCAAAGAGAAAGCTAATACTACCTGACAGCATTACATAAACAAGTACATGAATGAATGATTGCAATGATGGAATCTAAACAACCCCACGCCTTTAATTTCAGCATTCCACTGGCAGAGGCAGGTGGATGTGAGTTCAAGGGCCACCTCCCCTACACAGCAAGAGGTATGTAAGAAATGAACCTGTCTTTAAAAAAAAAAAGGCCTCACAGTAATCAGTGTCTGTTTGTAACCTTTGTTTCTATAAGAATGGGTGTTCTGCCTACATGTATGTCTGTACATCCTTGTGCTGGGAATGAACCCAGGTCAGGTGCTGGAAATTGAACGCAGGTTCTCTGGGAAAAACCAGTGCCCTTAACCCAAACCAGCCCCTGTAGCATCCATTCTCTTTATTCTAAAGAAATTATAGTTCCTTTTCCATTGTAAATAAAAAATAAAAATGTGAAAAACTTTTCAAGTTAAAATAATTGTCCAAATACATTTTTAGCAATGAAAGGCAGAGTGGCTATCCCAAGGTCTAGCATTTACTTATAACCCAACAAAATTAGCAATGTATTCTGACACCTTCAGGTCTTGTAAGTCGCATTCCCCCTCTTTCAAGCCCCCCTTCGGTCACCTTAGGCCAATACAAACAAGCAAATAATAAAATAAGCTATAGAATTTTAGTCACATTAGCTCTGACAAGAGTGTTATATTTTTTATCTCATGAAAGGAAAGGTCAATAGTAAACTATTGCCAACTATAGGGCCCAAGACTAAAAACAAAACAGGTATTTTGTAACAGATAAAACTGACTACACATTATGTTGAGGAGGCTTTAACTTTTATTTAATAATCTAAATGCTGACTTGTAAATAACAATTAGTTAAGTCAAGATTTTATGACAGGTGTCTAAGTCCCTACTAATGCTAAGTTAAATCCTTCAAATCCAGATTTGGAATTAATATAGCATAGTTTAAATCTGGGGCCTGTACCTCAACTGTAAACAAACTTGAGAGACAAGACCACCGAAAATCCCGTTTACCTGCAGTCAGTTTTAAATAACTGTTTTAGGTTTTCCCCTCACGCAACCAAAATATCTTTGGATATTAGTTTGAAAAGATGTTCTGATGCTAACTACTTTCAAAATATAGCAAACTCGGGGTTGGCTCTCATGAAACCAGGGTAGTCAGTATTGTCTTTAAAACGTTGTCTTTTCAGAATTTTG